CGGGTTTCCGCTGGGGGGCCGAGCCGGTGACCCGGCCACTCAGCGGTTGTACAGGAGCTGTGGCAACGGGACGTCTCCGTTCCCTCCTTCAGGGAACGAGGGTTACCATACATAACCGAGAAGTTCCCTTTCAGTCGGTCACTCTCAACGTCACGTCGGATGACAGACGAAATTGGGATCCTACCAAAAGGCCACAGCTACTGCCCCTTCCAGTGTCCTGTGGAAGCCACCTGCGCCCCTACTTTTTGGCGAAGGCCAGGGCTTGCACAAGAGGACTTACCCGTCTGAGGTGAGAACACAGGAGGATACCGGATCCACACGAAAGTTATGGAATCTAGCGAACGTGTTAGGGGTCGCCCAGCCCACAGCTCTACAGATATCCGCCAGTGAGGCACCACGAGCCAGTGCCCAGGAGGATGCAACACTTCTAGTTGAGTGAGCTCGCAACCTGAACGGGCAGGGCACACCCTGTGCCTGATAAGCCAGGGAGATGGCATCCACTATCCAGTGGGCCATCCTCTGCTTAGAGATGGCATTCCCCTTCTGCCGTCCTCCGTGACAGACAAAGAGCTGGTCTGAGGTCCTGACGCTTTGGTCCGGTCAACGTAGCACCGTAAGACTCGGACGGGACAGAGCAAAACTAGGGCTGGGTCTGCCTCCTCCGAGGGTAGCGCTTGGAGGTTCACCACCTGATCCCTGAAGGGAGTAGCGGGAACCTTGGCCACATAGCCGGGCCGGGGCCTCAGGGTTACCTGGGAATCAGCCGGCCCAAACTCTAGGCACAAATCGTTGACCGAAAATGCATCCAGGACACCACGTAAGTGGCGTCAACGGAACTACAGGCGTACCCGCAGTGGGGCAGCGCGGAAGAACGCAGGGACCCGGCCCGGGTGTCTCGTAGCCAGTCCGAGGCATGGTCTGGGTGTGTGTAACACTGACCTGCATTTGAGCCGAGGGTGCGTGGGTTACATTTATATATATACACACACACATACATATTACAGTTTTTATTAATATTTTAATCAGTTTAATATATATACGTACATACATGCACAAAAACAATCATATACTGTATTTTTAGAAAATATATTATTTTACCATTTAACAGCATTATTTCAAGGGTTCTTCCTCCCGATCCGCCCACTGCTGCTCACCGGCGAGAGAGGAGGGTGAGTGTGATACGGCTCTGGATTGTCCACAACCCCCCATCCCCTCAGGGAACCCAGAGATAGAAGAAATTGCTCTTTTGTCGAGTATTTGGGTACCAATGACCGCGAGGTCAGTGGCAGAAAAAAGGAAACAAAAGATTCTCCGCCCGGCCCTCCTCCAGGGGACATCGCATGACCCAGAGACCGCGCCGTAACCTTCGTCGCTCGTAGCGCGAGGTCCGTCGCGGTGCAGAGTTCTTTGAGAACTTCCGGGTCGTGACCACCCTCGTGCAAGTCCCTCAGTGCCTTAGCCTGGTGCACTTGCAATAGCACCGAAGCGTGTAAGGCGGACACAGCTTCTCCACAGGCCATATAAGCACTGCCGATCAAGGCCGACGAGTGCCTACAGGCCCGGGAGGGGAGCAACAGTTTGCCCTGCCAAGTGGTAGCGGCATTTGGACACAACTGCATCGCAACAGACCGCTCCACCTGGGGAACTCCCACGTACCCCCGCGCTGGACCCCCATCAAGGGTGGTGAGGGAGGATGAGCCACTGGGCCGGTTTCTGGCAGTGAAAGGTGCCGTCCATGACCCAGCGATCTCATCATGCACCTCCGGGAAGAAAGGCACTGGAGCGGGGCCCTGAGAACCAGCGCGCGCCACCCCGAGAAACCAATCGTCCAACCTTGAGGGTTCGGGACGC